CGGTAGCCTGCGCGGACCGGTTGCCACGGCTCGCGACAGAGAAACCGAGAGACCAAGGGGAATGCACGCAGGATCGAGCGCTAGGCCCGATAGAAGGGGTGGGGGGTGCGTAACGAGAGAAACAGGGATGAGGGTAAAGAGAAAGAGAAAGAGAAAGAGAAAGAGAAAGAGAGAGAGACAGAGAGAGAGATAGGGGTTAGGTCGTGACGCCCAGTGGCGTGTAGCGAAGGAAACCGCGAGAGAAACGAAGAAAGAGATGGTTTTATAGCGAAGGTAGTGATGGGATCAAGTTCACTATGAATGCTATATGAGTCGCTCGTTTGTCATGTCGATTAATTCCGTGAAACAAAATGTGCAGAAAATTGATGAAATTATGTGGGATATTCATCGATCAAATGTTTTGGGTCTAGAATTTTACAAGTTTTAAACGATAGATTATAACCACTCTGTGAACTTGGCTCATATAACAATGGATAAGCAGAAAAGAAGAAAGGGGTGGTTCTATGGTGAAGATAGCGATGGGATCATGTCCATCATGAACAGAGTACGACTGCTGAGTAAAAACGAAGAAGACGGTGATTTACAGTAGAATTCTGTTTATCTGATTTCCACTCATTGGAAATTTCAGTTAATGGCCGATGAACTGAACTCTTGCTAATTGAATTTGCTTATCTGAACGCGAGCTCCTCTTATGCAAACGAAAAATAATAGGCAATGGGGGAAATTGGCGGGGTTTTGTTGTACGAACCTCGATTATGTAAACTGTTTTTCTTACCACAAGTTCAGATAAACGCAATGCTATTATATGGCGTATGACGCAGTTAGCGATGGATTAAGTTCGCTATAAACACTGTATGAGTGATACGTAGAAACGGAGAAGGCGATGATTTTATGGTAGAACTGCATTTACCTGATCTCTACTGATTGAAAATTTTAGTTAACGTCCGATGAACTGAGCTTTCGTTAATCGAATTTTTATCTAATCTTATTCGAACGTGATTCTATTATGCAAACGAAAAGTAGTAGGCTGTGAGAAAAATTGACGAGTTCTTGTTACGTGAACTTCAATTATATAAACTGTCTTTGCCTGGACAAGTTCAGATTAATGGAACTTTATTACATTAGCTGTAGGATCAAGTTCAGAAACGAAGATTATACGGCTGATGAACGCAGAAAGGGATGTTTTTATGGTGAAGGTAGCGATGGAATCAAGTTCAGTATAAAGACCGTATGACTGATGAATAGACTATTGGTGTTTAAACAAAGTCATATATTTTTAGATATTATTAAGTATATGAAACCTAGAAATAAATGTTTACTTTATATGATTTACATATTTCATATATTTTTAAACATTATATATACAGGGTGGTTGGTAACTGGTGGTACAAGCGGAAAGGGGTTGATTCTACGCGAAAAAAGAAATCGAAAATATAGAATAAAAATTTTTCGTTCGAGGCTTTGTTTTCTAGAAAATCGACTTTGAATTTTCGCTCGGTACGCGTGCGATACGTTATAACGGATCTCACTGTAGATCGTTGTATCGATGGAAAAATTAAAAAAAAAAATTTTATTCTATATTTTCGACTTTTTCTTTCGCGTAGAATCACCCCCTTTCCGTTTGTACCGCCAGTTACCACACACC